CAAGACAAAAACCAGTTTGTTTTTTTTCTCAGTAGGAAAATATTTAGGTGATTGCTTCTAGTAGATGGACATACGAAAATAAAGCTGTAGGTGCTAAAGCTTCATCAGGCAAAAGATTTCTCAATTAATGACAATCATTATTTTCCAGAGCAGAGAGATGTTTTGGATTCAGTTCAATAAGAGCTTTGTCTTGACAAGAAATATTTAACTTTTAGCACGAACCAAATTAATGGTGGATATGATCAATGCCAGCTGTGGAAGATCTGCAACTCTCTCAGAGAGTTATGAAAGCCCCCATCCCTCCCTGCTGTCATCATGTGTGTCATTTCCACAGCTGTCCATCCCACATCAGACACTGTTGTTCATGTTTTAAATTAACAGAAGAAATACAAAATATACATCTGTAAGGGGGAGGGCATTTCTCTGAGACTCTAGTCTCTTAATCTGAAATTGCTTTCACCGTCATACATGCAGGTTTCGCCTTAACGAACACTTCTGCTTTATTTAAGCCAAACTGAAGAGCACTGATAGTTTAAAGACACCAGAGTTCATTCAAGCATCTCTTTCCTCATTATAAACAGTGAGGCTAAGCTTAGCTTGTATGAAGTTCTAAATCTAACATGTGGAGTAAAAAATGTTGAGATATGTCTGTTCTGAACCTCACAAGCTCCAAACGAAGGTCATGATAGATAAGAAAGAGTCACACGGCCTCCTTCATGACGTGAAGGGGAGGACTGCTGTTTTGAGGAGATCTCTCTATCTGAGGATGTTAAATAAATTTGAACCTTTTTCTTGCAAGAAATGCCTCAGCTTCCTAACTCCACAAACAGTAATCATTTTAGAGCATATTTCTACTCCTGTTAAAACACATTCATAACTGTTAAAATACGTTTTCTGATAATAAAGAGAGCAGCTATTACCCTGAATATGCTTTGCTAATGTTACTAGCCGCAACTAGAAAGGACACTGTACTGTCTCCGGAGGTTGAATATCCTGTAAAGGAGCCAATCAAAGGCATTTTACATTCTTAGTTTGGTTTCACCTTCAAAGTGACAAAAGTTTGCATAGTGCACAGAAGCAGAGGAGGGGAAGAATCTATAGGGCAAAAAAAAAAGCAAAAGGAGGAGCATGGACTCCTGGCTGTGACATGTTGGAAGCCTCACTGTATTGAATCTACACACGACGAGACATTCAAAACGTGCCTGGAGAGTAGTTTACATGTGGGTGTTCCAAATGAAACTGCTTTTATTAGAGCCCGACCGATTAATCAGCGCGGACATTTATCAGGACGATTTTAGTGCCCTCTACACTTTAAAAAAATGTGCGTGCAAAAGCGTGCACACACTGTTTAAAACGTGCTGTTCTCACAGCTCATACAAGTTTACTGTGTCCACATACAGCGGGTACTACAATATATAGTGGACTTTATAGCAAACTCTGTTAAATTACCGTTCGACCAGATTATCACTACTTTTTGCTCCGTTGGCAGAGATGGCAAAAGTACTCACTTTCCGTACTTGAGTAAAAGTACAGATACTTGTGTTAAAAAATACTCTGGTAAAAGTGGAAGTACTGACAGGCTTGTAAATTTACTTAAAGTATAAAAGTAAAAGTAGAAACCACGTTTTTCATGCCGTTGCCTACATTTTAAATGGATGTCTGCCAATAGGACTAGATCTCTGTTGTGTTCATTTTCAATCATCTCGTCGTCCATACTACTATGCTAACGCCACCGCCACCAAGCTGCAATGATTTGCCACGAATGAATACCGCCGAATCTGTCGATTCATCTTGTAGTGGTGCGTCAAAAGCAACGTAGATTCCCATCCAATTAGATTGAATTTGGTATTGATGACGTGAAAAATAATAACGGTAACTCCATGGAAATGATTCAAAACTAAAGTAACGAGCCAATTTTTAAAAATGTAAGGAGTAGAAAGTACAGATATTTGTGTAAAAATGTAAGGAGTAGAAGTAAAAAGTCGCCATAAAAATAAGTAGTAAAGTAAAGTAAAAATATCAGAAAAATCTACTTGAGTACAGTAACAAAGTATTTGTACTTCGTTACTTCCATCTCTGTCCGTTGGTCACCTATCTCCTCCTCCTCGCGGTGCCTGCACCATATTTGTTATCAGTCGCCCCTGTCAGGTAACGACAGCCTATGGCAACAGCAGGCCACTGTGACAGCAAATCCCATAGTGCTTTCCACGGAGAGCTCTCCACGCAAAGCATTCTGGAATATATCTGCCTCTCCTGAGGCCTTTCTTTTCTTCTCATACTCTTCGACACTTTTTCCTCTTACGACCCTTGGCCATTTTCAAAGAACCGCAGTGAGAAAGGTGAGCTTCAATGACTGTCTGGAACTGCAGCTCACCCAAGACAGTGAACAAGTAGGGCGGGCACGTAGGACGAGCACGTAGGGCAAACACGTAGGGCGGGCACGTAGGACGACACGTAGGGCAAACACGTAGGGCGGGCACGTAGGGCGAGCACGTAGGGCAAACACGTAGGGCGGGCACGTAGGGCGAGCACGTAGGGCGAGCACATAGGACGAGCATGTAGGACGAGCACATAGGGCGAGCACGTAGGGCGGGCACGTAGGACAACAAACGTTCTCATGGAAACATGCTCTTAGGGTTTATTAAGATGAGCAGATGAGTTTTATAAGTGCTAGGTTCAGCAAACATTAGCATTTTAGCTCTGTGTAAGCTATAGCTTTTTGTAATAAACATAATTTATAATTTATAGAAATAATTTATAGAAAAGTTGGATTATTATATTGTGTCCCACCAAACTTTATGCTGACATGCAGGCAGAGTTGGGGTGTCCTCTTCTAAAAGGCTCCACCTCATGTATTTAGTTGTAATCCTGTTTGAATGTTTTAAAAGCTGCAGCATTTATACTTACATCTAGTTTAGTTCCTTGAGTTTATTGGGGCAGGGAACTTTTCAGCTGTTTTTTTGATTGAATCTTAAAAATGAATTGGATACTTATCACCTTCCTTTATCCAGTCTGTTATGATGAGTAGAGACACTTGTTTTACGTTTTTTAAATGCTCATCTGTTGAATGTTCCTGTTGTTCCTTATGTTCCTAACAGAGCACTTTGCTCTCAATCTGCAGGTTTACTGGTGGTTCCTAGAATTTCTAAAAGTAGAATGGGAGGCAGATCTTTTAGTTATCAGGCTCCTCTCCTGTGGAACCAGCTACCAGTTTTAGTCCGTGAGGCAGACACCCTGTCTACTTTTAAGGCTAGGTTTAAAACTTTCCTTTTTGATAAAGCTTATAGTTAGAGTGGCTCATGTTATCCTAGCTATCTACCTTAGCTATCTCTATAGTTATGCTGCTATAGGCTTACACTGCTGGAAGACATAGGGACCCCTATTTCATCTTTCTGCTTCATTCTATTTCTATTCTTCCACTCTGCAGAATCTGTTAGTTCAATCTCTAACGTTATGCTCTCTCTGCTTTTTCTCATAGTAGCTTCGCCTCGTTTGTTCCTCTGTGGCTGTGACTCCATCCTGGAGAGAAATATCAGCTGTGCTGCTGCCATCATTACCTTTGTTTATAGATGTTGGAGATCGGCCCTTTTTTCCAGTGTAGTCCTGTTTCTCTGACTGTGACTAACTGGATGTGCTCTCTCCATCCTCTGGCATGGGAGCTGGCTCTGAGCTTGTCTGCCTGGCTGTGTGTTTCCTGGACGGGGCCGCCTTTTACAGTCGTTTTTTGTGTCTCTGCTTCTGTCTCCTTGAACCCCAGTCGGCCTCAGCAGATGGCCGCTCACACTGAGCCTGGTTCTGCTGGAGGTTTCTTCCTGCTAAAAGGGAGTTTTTCCTCTCTACTATCGCTACAAGCATGCTTAGTGTGAGGGATTGCAATCTAGTCAAGAGTCGATGCAAATCAACTGGTTTTCCTTAGATAGAAAACTTTGAGCCAGGGCTCCAGGACCAGCTAAGCAAAACAAAATAAAAATTTAAGGCAATATCTGAAACAAAGAAGAATATTATTAATATTATCAAAATATTATTTCAGTTTAAGATGGGGAAAAAAGTCTGACTTTTTCTCATATTGTACTGAAATAAAATTTAAAAATCAGGTAAGTTTTTATTTTTTTTCTGTGGCCCTAATCATCTTCCGTAGAATCAGTACCACAAAGAGTGATTGTATTTATACTGTTATGCTAACGCTGCTCAAATCAAAGATGCTTTTTTTTTATTCTATAGTTCAGGGTTCTCTTCTTTGTCTTGAATTATATTTTTGGTTATTATGAGAATTTGAGTTGGACTATAGTTGGACAGCGCATATCCCGTGTATGTCCATTTTCAGTTTTTCTTTTTCTTTTCTTTAAATATTCTGGTCGATATTGGCTATCAGCCAATGTATATCAGCATCGACCTTCAATATCCTATATCGGTCAGGCTCTAGCTTGTATGAGTATTTATAATGTGTGTGCACTTATGGCAGAATTCAAACTTCATACAGCACTCTTAAAAACTATTTACATTTTTATATTCTTTAGCAAAATGCTGCATTTACACTGTTTGATGTAGATGGAAGTATAAATTAGACAATAATCAGAGAGTTTTAATGAGGGAATTCTATATGATGAAAAGATGTCTGTAGCTCAGTGGGATGGTACAGATGCAAATGCTAATTTAGTTAGTTAGATATCTCTCCATATTTTCCCATGTTTGATACTTTTGTCTCTTTTTGATTCTCACTCAGTTAAACTAACAAATTTATTTATTTCTGTTGACTGGAAACTGCTTTATCAGCTTTTGTCATAGAGAGGCATTCAGTGACAGTTAACTTGGATTTTAATTCAAGTAAAGGTGTCTGGTTTTGGTTTAACTTCTTCGAAACAAAAACAAAACCCCTTTACAGTCGTTTCCTGTTTTTCCCAGACAGTCCTGGTGTTGAGTCACATCTTCCTATAAAAACAAATATGTTGTTGTGCAGGAAATGATGTTCGCTTTGATAATTGTGTCTATCTTGTCCTTACCTTGAAAAAGCTGCTACTCCTGTTGGTGAGGCCACAGAAGGGGCTTTCTGATGGCGTGCTGGAGTCCATGTGGTCTTTTTGTTAGCGAGGCTCGGGATCCTCTAAGCCTGAAGCGGCGTTCGGTGAAGAGGGAGATCTGTGGGTCGAAAACATTTAAGCTCAGACACTTTCAGCTGAAGCCCAGCCTGAGGAAATTCCTCCTTTAGCCACAGTCAGCCTTACGAAGCTGTTGGCCGCTTGCATAGTTCTGTTATGTCTGATTTTTCCTTCCCTACACTCTCTGAACATCAGCCTCTTTTTCCACCTCCCTGGCTCTCTAAATCCAGGATAATTGCTTCATTCATTGATTTTTGGCCTCAGCTTTCTTCCTCTGGTTACCTTCTTCTGTTTTTCTTCACATTTCAAGCCACTTTGTTCCCACATTATTTTCCCATGTCCTCAAAATACATTTTCCACCTCAGACAGACTAGCACAGCTGCATACATAAAACCTGACTATCCAAATGCATTTAAACAGTACAAAAGTCCTTTTTTTTTTTTCTTGTTACATCTGACTGCTTTTACAGATATTTCTCGGTTGTTACCTTTTTAAACTATTCTTTGATGTGCATTTGATTCCCTATCCAGCCAGACTGGAACTATTAAAGCTGCCCTTCCCTTCCTGGCTAAGGATCACAGAGCTCCCAGGCATGAGCATCGCTCCGTTTGTCCTCTGGTCCACACAGGCAATTTTATCTAACAGAGAGGAAGTGTGCAGCAACTCCCTAAGCTCAACTCTAGAGTGCACAGAGAAAAGCAGAGATAAGTGTTGCACAAAGTATGCAGGATTGTGTAATGCTTAATTTAGCTACTGAAACTCGAACTGCTTTGCGTGTCACAGATCTTAAAAACCACAGCTGGCTATATTTTACAGTTTAAAGGGTGCTTGTCTACAGTGAGGAAAATAAGTATTTGAACACCCTGCTATTTTGCAAGTTATCCCACTTAGAAATCATGGAGGGGTCTAAAATTGTAATCCTAGGTGTGTGTCCAAGTGAGAGACATCAATCTAAAAGAAAATACACAATGTATGATTTTCTAACTATTTATTTGTATGATACAGCTGCTAATAAGTACTTGAACACCTGTCTATCAGCTAAGATTTTGACCCTCAAAGACCTGCTAGTCTGCTTTCTAAGGCCCCGTCCACACGAAGTCAAACCCTGGACTAAATTCACAAATTTTTCACCAAACCAGCCTCTCATCCATACGAAGCCGGCGTTTCGGGGGTCTGTAAACGACCTTTTTTTAATTAAGCCTTCAGAGTGGGAAGATTTTGAAACACCGTTTTCGCGTTTCCATCTTTAAGCTCTAACCGCATTTTTTTTCTAACACGCATGCGTCATAGCGTCGCCTCTAAACACGCATGCGCGACACAGTATCACAACAACAATGGCGCCGTACTGTGTTGAATGGTTGCTGCTCATGCTACTCACCCTGCTGTCGGGCTTACAACAGAATCTTCTTCTTCTGGAATATCTCCAGGAAGAACAGAGCAATATAGACGACATAGTTCAGCACCTGAATTTGACTGAACAACAAATATGGACCCGCAGGGCAACCGGTTTGGTTGTTGTATAAATATTACTGCGCATGCCCAACATTTCGTTGCCTGTTTTCGCCTATTTTTTCTTTGGCACCACAGCGCCACTTACAGGCCTGGCATACATTTTGCAGCGTTTTCATGCATTCATGTGGACGATCACATTTATTTTACGTCTCCGTCTTTAAGACAACCGTTCTGGAAAATATTTGCGTTTCGTGTTCGTTTTGACTTCGTGTGGACGGGGCCTACATGTCCACCTCCACTTCATTAATTATCCTAAATTAGATGCACCTGTCAATCAGTAAGAATCCAGCTACTAACATGACCAAGACCAAAGAGCTGTCCAAAGACACTAGAGACTAAATAGTACACATCAACAAGGCTGGAAAGGGCTTTGGGGAAATTGCCAAGCAGCTCTGTGAAAAAGGTCCACTGTTGGAGCAATCATTAGAAAAAGGATTAAGCTAAACATGACTGTCAATATCCCTCAGACTGGGGCTCCATGCAAGTTCTCAGCTCATGGGGTCTCAATGATCTTAAAAAAGTTGAGAAATCAGACCAGAACTACATGGGAGGAGCTGGTCAATGACCTGAAAAGAGCTGGGACCACCGTTTCCAAGGTTACTGCTGGTAATACACTAAGAAGTCATGGTTTGAAATCATGCATTTGAAATCACGGAAGGTTCTCCTGCTTAAACCAGCACATGTCAGGGCCCATCTTAAGTTTCCAAATGACCATTTGGATGATCCAGAGGGGTCATGGGGGAAAGTCATGGATTCAGATGAGACCAAAATATAACTTTTTGGTCATAATTCCACTAACCGTGGAAAATAAGTAACATCCCAAGAAACACCATCCCTACTGTGAAGCATGGGGGTGGTAGCATCATGCTTTGGGGTGTTTTTCTATACATGGGACAGGGTGACTGCACTGTAATGAGGAGGGATTGCCAGATTTTGAACAACCTCCTTCCTTCCTCAGAGCATTGAATATTGGTGGAGGCTGGGTCTTCCAACATCACAATGACCCAAAGCACAAAGCCAGGAGAACAAAGGAGTGGCTCTGGAAGAAGCATATCCAGGGTCTGGCCTAGCCGATCTCCAGACCTAGACCAAATAGAGAATCTTTGGATCAAGCTCGCATTCTGTGTTTCTCAGCTAAAGCCCAGAAACCTCACTGATCTAGAGAGGATCTGTGTGGAGGAGTGGACCAAAATCCCTCCTGCAGTGTATGCAAACCTGGTGAAAAACTACAGGAAACATTTGACCTCTGTAATTGTAAACAAAGGCTACTGTACCAAATATTAACATTGGTTTTTCTCAGGTGTTCAAATACTTATTTTCAGCTGTATCAAACAAATAAATAGTTAAAAAATCATGGACATGCACCTACAATGACAATTTCAGACCCTCCCATGATTTCTAAGTGGGTGAACTTGCAAAATAGCAGGGTGTTTAAATACTTATTTTCCTCACTGTATGTAGTGTAAACCAATGTTTGCATTGTGACTTTTTACTTACAAAGAGGCTGTAAGCTTCAGCTGATCAGGTGGATTCCAGCAAAAAAAAAAAAAGAAAAAGAAAAAAGAAAAACAAAATCTGACCATGGGGTGTTTTTTTTTTTTTTTTTTTTCCCTGACCTAGCAAACTTGTTTTGTCTTGAATAAAAAGAACCATTATTGAGTCAGTTGATCTGAACAAGCTGTATCTTTCAGATGCCTTAGAGGAAGTTCATAGTTCTCAGAAATCTCAAATACACAGATGAAACACACAGGATCCACATTTGCACAAAACAAGATTAAAATTTATGTATTTCTGATACTTAGACAAATATACAGGATCTTCATTTACCACCTACTTGTGGTCTGGTAACCCCACTGTATTTTTTATTTATGTATCTATTTTGACAGGAAATGATCAGATATCTCACCGGTTTCAGCCGCTAACAAGTACACACCCCACATACACAATGATTTAGTCATACAATAAGCCAATCACATGAACCCCTGGTAACAGCAGTGATGTTGTAGGTGGTATTTTGTTTAGCCAGTTATCCCTTTTTATGAGATGTTTAAATTAGGGCTGAAACAATCAAATTAACTGATTAATGAAAAAATTGTTAACTAATTCATTAATCGATTAATCTTTAACTTGGGTATTGAGACTCTAAAACATGCCTTTTACTGAAAGAGTAACCCACTAAGGGCAGTAATTATATCCAAATTGTTAAGAAAATATATAAACATTTGCTTTTAAGATAAAAAAAAAAATGTCTGCCACTATGTTCTATCCTACGAAGAAGTATTGGGGCTAGAGATTTTTTTTTCTTCTATTTCGAGAATAAATTCGTATAATTAAGAGAATAAAGTCGTAACATTACCAGAATAAATTTGTAATATTATGCTAGCAAAAGTTATAACACCCCTAGTTGTCGCAGACCCCCTGCTGAAGATCTCGGTTCTAGATTACAAAAAGTTTTCACTCCTGTGTATCTGTCTCCACTGACACCTCCCCTAATTGTTCCCTCAGTGTAGTGAGTCAGCATGACAGACTAGTGATGAAGCACTACTAAGCTAGATAAATGCTAGTCAAGATTTGGAAAAATAGAGATTAAATTATTGTCAAATCCAAAGGCTACATCTGCAGTATGGGAACATTTCGGGTTCAAACTAAATGACAATGATATAGTTTGTTGCAATAATTTCTGGGACAATTTACTTTCCAGACCTTTTTTTTTTTATCCCAACAGGTCCATTTCAACCTATCAATTTATTTCTATAGTAGAAAACAAAAACTTCTTCTAAACGACTGATAAAATTTATGATGTGATCCCAGAAACTTGGGCTACCAAATAGTATTTGTTCATAGACACAAAAACTGAACAATCAGGCATTCGTACATAGGAAAGAAAAAAGGAACATCCATCCATCCATTTTCAAACACGCTTTATCGCAAGCGGGGTCGCGAGGGGTGCTGGTGCCCATCTCCAGCTGTCTACGGGCAAGAGGCGAAAATGGAACATAATCCCCTTCAAGTTTAAATAGAGAGGAGTGCGTCTAGAACAGTTTTAACTTGTGTGATGGTAGATTATCCTTTCTTTTCTCTATGTGGCTGGTCTAAATCATGCTAAAAATGCTCCAAGTAATAAAAATTGAGAGAATTTGACAGTGTGCCTGGCGCATCTAGCGATAATGCGTTTCCGGTGAGAGCAGTCGTGTGACGAAACCCAGCTGATACGTTAGTGTAGTCAAAGTCCTCCAGCAGGTGTATAGAACCACTAATTTACGCATGGTTAAACACTCTGAAAGGATGGTTAAAACATCATTACAATGGTCTATTGTACTGCTGCCGATTGAAGGAATGGCTTTGGATCGGGAAAAGGAATCTTTAATTAACTAAATGACCCGGTTTTGTGCCAAATTTTGATCCGGAAATTAAATAGATTAGACAAAAATCTTCGGCGTCCAATCCAATACAGCAAACTATGTTCGGGTCACTTCACGGCAGATTCTTTAATCATCAATCCTGCTCTCACAGCATCAGTTGGATTCAATATACCAAAGTATTAACAGCTTGTTTTCTTTGTTGTATAGCTTTAATAAAGCACCTGATGGCAATAAAGCTGATTCAAAGCATTGTTTTTTGTTTTTTTATATATTTTATTTCATAAAGCAACAAACCCTAGCTAGTTGCATGGGCAAACTCCTACATCCAACGCCACTGTCGCCCCTAATTAAAGCTGTGCTTCAATGTTCTGAAAGATAAATAACTTCCACCGGCTCTGCATAAGATCGAAGAACATTTAGCAGCGGTGGTTAAACCAGTGAGCATTAATAAAACCACTAAGACTCTGACTGCTTCATATTTATCCTCATTTAAGGATAAAAACTCCATCACAAAGATGAATAAATATTGACTCGCTATGTGAAATGACTACTTTCTGACTAAACTGGCGTCACGGTATCCTACAGCACCTCAGTGAGTCACGTGACCAAATAACGAATTTAGCTTTGTCTGCTATCTTAGTAAATTATTTTATGTTATAAACCACAATATGCTGGATTTTTTTTTACTTGTGATGTATTTAATTTTGTACATACTATACTAGAGATTAAACATTAAATCAGGTTTTAATGAGGCTACGTGTAGCTTAAGTAAGGGTCTGGGAAAAATTGCTAAACACAATAACAGCTAACTGTTAATGTTGCTAATTCTACATCTAAATTAACTCACACACAACTCACTGTCTCATGCGTTATCTCGCAAGAAAAAACGGGTATAAAAAGGCTTAATTTGAGCTCCGTTTAATGTGTTATTTCACCTAAAACTGATTAAACATGAACTTAAAGACAATTTTAAAAGCAAAAAAAAAAAAATTAAATGTTAATTAAACAACAGGTTATGACTCCATTAAATAATGTGCAGTTAAAAATTATAATTGTGTTGCAGATCCCCCTGCTTCAAATGTTCCGTTCTTCAGCATATGAACATACAATAGATGCTATATTTATCTAATATATTTTACAAATCTTTAGAAAAAGATGAATACCAAAACAATAAATGTCCTTCTTTATGAGTATTACTGTTTACTTAACAGTAGAAAGATGAGTTCATACTTTAGACCAGGGGTTTTAAACGTTTTCCAGGCCAAGGACCCCCAAACTGATGGCGAGATGGAGCCAAATTGTGTTATATCAAACTGGTCCTACAGTCACTCTATTACAGATGGACTAATTTAACAAAAGTAATTTCTCCCTGGGACTATTAAAGTATTTCTGATTCTGATTCCTGGTTGATGGAACAGGTGATGTGAATGAAACGGTGCCCAGCTTGAAAGAGCTCCTGTGTGTCGCATAATGTTTGCATTGATGACTGAAAGACATCTTCTGCCTCCATTTATCTGTTTACTACAGTCTGTTAAATTCATGTTAATGTGTATTTAAAGGCATTTCAATTAGTAGAAAAAATACAGGGGGGAATATGAACAAAAAAGTCTAATCAACCCCCATGCAGTACCTCCAAGGACCCCCTAGGGGTCGCGGACCCCCTGTTGAAGACCTCCGCTTTAGACTCTGCAGACAGAGAAAGAGACTCAATTTAAGTTAACCAATGAGACTGATGATGTTATGAACACTAAGGTTTTTTACAGTAGCTGGTATTTGCTGACGTAAAGGCCCATTTGTATGCAGGCAGATACTGCTTCCCCTTTTTTAAACTATGAAGAGATATGCCGCCGTCAAGGTTTCACTTCCTCGAAAAGAAAACACTGACGCTAAAAAGTCAGCCACAAAGTAAATATGACCTCTAAAAATCACCGGCTGCCACAACAGTTTTTGTACAATCTATTTCCAAAATAGTCAAAAAGTAAACAATAGATTACATGTTTCTTCCAAGCTTCCAATATCATATAATAGTT